TATTTATTGTTTTGCTGTTTAGTTATACGCGTGTTATTTGTAATAAAAAAGGAATCTGCTAAGAATTTGACAAATTGGAAGATGACCCAATAGATATGTATGCTAACCTTGCTGATAAGGTATCCGGCCCAGGTGGCTGACCAATCAGAGAATTTGCTGCCTCTCTTACTCAAGTACACTGGCTTCTTCAGTTTAGACCAGTTAACCTCCTTTTGACTGCTCTTATATCTGAAGACAGAGAGGACAAAGAAGAAAAAAATAACTATACAAATACAAGACAGGGTTACATGTGCTGTAAGTCTATGTGTGTGTAAACTTGAGTACCTGCTGTTGAGGTGTGGTTCCAGTATTTCTTGAATCTGCTCTGGGAATCTCCTCCACAGACGGCGCCCTGGTGAGTCGGTTCGACCCTCGCGACACTCAAAGATGGATAGCAGCTCCTACAGTGACAGCACAAACACAAACACATATGACAGACGAGACATAAGCAGACAAAGAGAGACAGAAAGGCACAAATTAAAGCTGTTGGATGTGCAAAGTGAGCGCTTGCACAAGTGTGAGTGTAGCACGTGTGCGTACCTGTATTGCATAAGCAGCGGAGTCCTGTGCTCTCACGTCATCGGCATACGCCAGAAACGTTCTGGTCAGTTCGGTCAGCAGGTCGTAGGCAAAGTTGGGATCATCAACCCCACTCTGTTAACAGAAAAATTTACTGTTATCCTCAGTCAAACAATATATGCATGTCTCTGCATAGAGACTTACGGTATGTTGAACAGTGAGCTCATCTTCTTTGATGATTTGTATGTTTGTGCAATATCCTCAAATACATTCTAGTTTCATTTGAAATAGTTGTGTCCATGGAAATAAGAAGTCAAGTAAGTTTATATAATCAAAATAATTTTAGTAAAATTATTACAATGTGTAGTGATTTTGTGTGTAATTTATTTCAGTAAGTCCTTAAGGGAAGTATAAAAATGTTAAGAAATACCTAAAACTGAATGTATCAGTTTAGTGCCCTAAATGCATACTGTGTGTCTTATACAGGCACTGCTTTGGTCTTGTCTAACTTACCACAAAGGTGTTGCGGTCCCCATGGGTGTGTGTGTGCGACAGGTCCAGACGTCCAGGATCCACGGCCCCCAGTTCCCCCAGACACTCCCCACAGAGGAGCCTGGCCTCCGGGGACGAGTCCTGGCAGCCCTTTAGCAGCACTGACACCAGGCTGGAGATGACCGGCTCCACCGCCTCACTCGCACACACCTGCCGCAGCAGCCACTCCTGGAATCCACAACATAAAAGGAATATTTATAGGACATTGTGATAAGTTTCAGACATGTCAGCCATTGCAAAAGGCACTTGACAACTGACTGTAGCAGTGGAGCTGCTGTAGTAAATTGTGGAAGTACTGAGAAAGTTCTAGGGTTGAATAACTGTAAGTGGAGTAAATTAGTTTACTATTAATTTCCATTAAAAAAATCTATTTTAATTTGCAAAGAAGACGCTTGTCCTTTCAGGGGTGGTTGTCTAACAATCTGTGTACCTGCTTGCTGTGCATCATGTCCCTGAGGCTAGTCAGTGCATGGATCCTGACGTCAACGTTTTCATGTTGAACGGCCCTCATGGAAAGCTGCAGTGCTGCGACCAAATCACTGCTGCTGGCTGTCAGCTGAGGGGGGAATCAGACATTACCACAAACACCAACAACAACCTTCGTCACCATCTGCATCCTTCATTTACTTCATCATTACGATCGTCCCCTTATCCGTACTGACCTTCTTGTAGTTCTGCAGAACAGTGTGGATGTCTTTCAGCTCAGGGTGGTCCGGTAGAAAGTAAATCTCATGGAGGTAGTCGTTGACTTCTTCCCTGTGGGAGATCGATGGAATAGGATCAATGCTACCACAAGTCTGAAATTAAATGCTGATTTCTAGATCAATTAAAATTTGTTTTGTTTTGCACTTCACCGGCTTTTGATGTGTAACTTCCTGCGCGGGCTCACTTTGGTCATTTCTAAATATGTCATTGTGTTACCTGTTGTCCAGTATCAGGAAGCGGATAATAGCAGCGGTTTCTTTGGGCTGCAGTGGGATCAGGGGAAGGAGTGCGACAATAACATGACTCAGTAGAGGGCCCAAGTGTGTCGTCTCCACGCTCCTCACAAAACACTCCCACGTCCTATACACACAGGAAAATGGAGTAAATACACAGAATCAGACGCTGGGGTTTGAGCTAATCACAAAGGATTGTGTCATAAATTAGTAGACAAAGATAGCTGAATTATTTTATCAAGAATGTAAACAAACAGTTAGAAATGGTATTTTCTGTCAGTCTGTGGTGTAATTAAGATGGGTTAAAGACATTTATATGTGGCTATATGCATTCATAACAAACATTTTTAAAGAAACATGTTGAATGTCATTTTTGACAATTACAAAAGCAATATGCGACTGACATGCGGTTTCCTTGTGATCCTAAAGTGTGAGTGTGTGTACTGACTGGCAGCAGAGCAGAGGGAAGTCCTCTCTGTATCGGAGGCCCGTGCGGAGAGTCGTCATCATTTTCACTCTGACAGAGCTGATGTGTTTGGAGCCCATCAGTCTCATTAGAGCCATTACACTTGTCAATGCCTGCACAGAAACCAAGAGGACACTTTCTTTTAACACTATGCAAGCTAAGTGGAATTGTAGTGGACAAACAACACTTTCCAAATCGGATACAAAAATCAATCATGTAAAAAGGATTTGGCTTTTTCTTGCTGTAAACAACATTGACTTTAAACAGAAGCTCTGTGAATCCTCTTACTAAAACAATACATTCTCAAATATCAGTTATTAAATCAGTTCTCAGCAGTGGCTCACACACCAGCTTCTTGCGATCCTTCTCTCCTGCGCTGGAGCTGAGCAGCTGCATGTTGAAGAAGGCAAGTATTCCCAGCAGCTTTGGCTGCAGGTAGTCCGCCTGTCACACAACGACCAAAGAAAGACAAGTAAGGAAAAATACACGTTTGTGTTAAAAAAGAGAGGGAAAGTTGATTTATTGATTATTAATTATGTATTAATTATAATATTTGTTGAAAAGGTTTTTCAGTTGCTTGCATGAGGCTACAAGTTTCATTATCAATTAATCTAAAGGTTTTGTCTTTACAAAATGTAATGTCCAAATTACCAAAAAGATCTCTAAAAATTATTTTTTTGTTTAAAAGTAAATAAGTACTTACAATAATGCGAAGCATTATAGATGCACAGCGGTTTGACTCTGTTGTAATTCTATTTTCTATAATTTTACAGAATGTCTGATGAGCACAAAATATAACACACACAAAAAACCCCAAAACTGTCTATTTAGTCAAAGCACAAGATGAAGCCGTAACACAGTATTTAACTCTGACACGCACCATGCGTTCTGGGGTGGTGATGTCTCGAGGACCCTGGTACGGGTCATCATTGGATGCAAAGGATGCCAGGATGGCCAGACCATTGAACACCTGCATAGAAATGTGAAACACAGATGTTAACAATACAACTGCATCAATTACTGACATGAATGTACTAAAACAAGCCAAAAACAATATATACTGAAAAAGAGTTTTGTGAGGGAACAGTTTTTGTGTGTGTGTTGACCTGTTGGTAGTGTTCTCCCAGGCGCAGCAGCAGTTCATTGTGAAGACCCTGGAAGTCTTGCCTTAGAAGAGAGCCCAGCTCAATCTCTGTCTCACTCTGGGAGGACATTAGGAAAACAAATAATAAATCAGCTAATCTAAACCATTACAGGAGAATTGCTTCATTTATCAGCCTTGTCAGCTCCGGCGCTTTTATCGACTCGACTGTATTTGATTAATTCTCTTTTTGACCAACTGCCCAAGCTTAATATTAATTTCTGCTCTGCCCCAGTATTTGGATATAAATTATTATATAAGTATAAGTTATTAAATTAATTTGGGTGACCTTTAATGATGATATCTGTTTTTATTTTATATTTATGTAGTATGTTATTTGGGATTATGGTGAAGCACAGTGCTAGGAGATGCTCCCCATTTGCTGGAGTTGAGAAGGGTGGATTCTGTTGACAATGCAAATGACACTTAATTTAAATAAACCACTACAACTACAAGTTTAAACATGTTCACAATGCACCACTAATTGCACTGTTGTCTTTGTTAAAGCTTGAATGTGTAGACGATTACATATTAATACCTGCAGGTAGTGGAAAGCCCTCTCTAGCTCCTCCTTTGTGCAGGAACAGACCAGATGGCTGAAGATGTATTTGAAATTGTTGATCAGGATCTCTCTTCTGTTTGCCTTCAGCTCATTGGCCAAGGTACGGATAAGGGCAGAGCCAGTGGAGCTCGCCTTGGCTGCCAGGTAGGGCAGGAGCACCTGGAGGGTCCTCTACATATACAAGAAACAGACATGTATTTATACACAGTACAGTCTCAATGTACTATGACATTCAACATAGTGTGTACTTTTGTGTCTGCAGGTGCTTTTGTGTAGTTATGTGTATGACATACAGTGAGGAAGCGGTGGAGGTCTGGGAAATCAAAAGCATGTGCGATCTGAGCCAGGATGTCCAGGGCCAGCTCTCTCTGATTGGCTGATTCGCTGCCCTGATCCGGAGTGCTCCGCAAGGCTGACGCATGACGTGAATGCAGCGACTCCACCAGGAACTAAACACATAGAAGAAAGAGCTTATTGAAGCATACATCTCTGAATTGTAAAAACTAGTTGCAAATTAATCTCAATGCAATTCAGGAGACACATTTACCACAATGCACAAAACTAATGCAGCTATATTGATGAAAACCTAAATCAGTATACATTCCCCATGAATCTTAGAAAATATAAAATTAGAAAAACAAAATTAGTAAAATGATCAAATGAGTTTATTGAAGATGTATTTATAGTTTATACCTGGCAAATAGGGTTCTTGTACTGACTGAAGAGGGTCTGAAGTTTAAGACCTTTGGCAGTGGCCAGGGCTCTGATCTGAGCGTAAGCAGCTACAGACACCGGGGACGACTTGGACAGCAGACAGTGGAGCAGCCGCAGCAGAGAGAACGACACCAAACTGCCCTGAGACGCTCTGACAGAACAGAAGAGGAATGAACAAACTGAACCCAAACTAGGTATTTTAAGTGATCACAACACAGCTAGTGGTTCTAGTCTATGCTCTTGTGTATAATCATCTATACCTGCCAATCTCTCCAGTGGTGAGGATGAGCGTGTTGCGCAGGTCGTCATCTCTGTTGAGTTTAGCGTTGTTGAATGCCTCTTTAAGACGGGCAACCAGGAGCTTGGATAGCACATAAAACTGGCATTAATAGCACGTATCGCTCAGTAATCACCTGAATGAAATATTCATAAATATTTTATGCTTTTTTTGTCTTACAATAATACATTTGTAATAAAAATGGTGGCTTTTAAATGTTCAAAACAGAGTGTAACGCAAAGACTTTACACCTTATCACTAAAATTGCTCACCTCACTCAGAGAGCCCTGCTCGGAGTTTCTGGAGGTCTCTGTTAGCAGGAAACGCACTGATTGGCTGAAGCGTATTCTGACCACCGGATCAGAGTCTTCCATTAGACCAATCAAAGCACCGAGAACTGCCAGAGAGTCGCTGTCTCCCCCAGCCAGGTTCACATGCTGGCAGAGGTGAGGCAGAGCTTCTAGGAAAGCTAAGGAAGTGAAATAAGTAAGTATGATGAAATAATACGGCATTTAAAAATAATACATACTAATACATACTATTGTATATTGATGTAAATAAACAACAACAAAAAAACCCTAAATACCTTGTTTAACACTACTTGGAGCTTGCCGTCTGAGCAGTGGCAGGAAGGGTCTGACAACATTCGCCCTGAAGGATGGAAAACTGTTCCCAACATGCTCTGTTGCAAGGCTGAGTTGATGGCAGAGGATTTCAGGAAGACGAGTGGACTGTGTGTGGGTTTCACTGAGCTTGGAGAGCTCTGATTGGATGCAGCTCAGCTGCCCGACTATTCTGGCGAGCTCCGTCTTAACCTGCTCTGATCCGTCCTCCAACCTGGATCTACAAATGGTCAAATGTACACCATTAGCATGATAAAAAACTGCAAAAGTGTGCGGTTGTGCGCATTCCGTTTGTACATAAATATATGTGCGTACAGCAAAGTAGTGCCAATGAGGTTGTGGTGCGCTTTTCCCAGGTGGTGAAGAAGAAGAGGGAAGGCCCTGACTGCCGCAGCTCTCACCACCTCATCTGGATTCTGCAACGTTTTGGAAAACAAACACACCCGCCACGTCTCACACACACCACGACGCAAAAGGGCCAGCAGCGACACACAATCTGCCTGGATCTCAGGTGCTGGAAAGACACACACAGTTCAGCGTCAATCCGGGTAAAATCATTGTGAAACTGTTTTGAAAATAATTACACCCTGACCCACTACCTGTAACCTTAGAAGTCGTGACTCTGGGAGAAAATACTCACAGTAACAGAAGCTGAGTCTATCAGCCAAGGCGGGAAGCCAGGAGGGGAATCCTGAACTCTTATAGGCTGAGACGGACTTGTTCTCACACACCCAGGGAAGAGACAGCAGAGCACACACTCGCCGCTGGAGCCCGTCCTCACTGCGGCTGCTCACTAAACACAGACACACAGACACAGACACAGACACACGGTGATGAAAATAGATATTAATCAATATATTGTACATAAAAGAATTTTTTTAGGGGGTTAATTTCTGCCTGATACTTCAGAGTAAAGCTTTTTCATAATCAATAATGGTATAAAATAAGTTACAATATTCTGTTATTGTGATAAATAAATAGTAATCAAATGATAAAGCAAACAATTATAAAAAAAAATAGTAACAGCATTTATATTGTGTGTTTTTGTGAGTGTATGCATCCTTACTTGTCAGGTAGAGGATAGAGTCCAGTACTCCAACTGTAGTCTGGATAGCAGACTGGAAGTATTTCTGGTTTGAGACGGGTTGAGCACCTCCTTCTAACACTGACTGACAGCTCTTCAGGGCCCTGCCCAGAGTCTCAGTGGGCACCCAGAGAAGTGGAGAAGTACTGTCAACAAAAGAGACAGAGAAGGAAAGAGTTTTGAATAAGTAAGTGATATTAAATAGGTAGTATTTCTGGGTGTAGAAAAGGAAAAGGAAAAAATGTTACTGTATTACCTGGTGGGAGAGGAGCAGAGGGCTGCCAGGTGGAGGATGAGGGCCAGACCCTCCAGAGCAGACAGAATCTGTGTGGTTTCAGGTTCGTCAGCATCAGAGTTCAAAAAGGTCAGCAGCTCCTCCAGCCGAGTGTTCACCACAGCCCAGACCTCACTGAGAACACGCATGTCCACCTCACTTAAGACACAGAGACGCATAATCATTTATCAAGATTTCACAGGAAATCTGCTGCATTGATTTATGAATTCAAACTCTCAGGAGTCACAAACAAAAATACTACATCTAAAAACACAGGAACAGGAACTAGGAGACAGTCAGGAAATATTGCATAAAACAGAAATTGGAAAATGGACAGATCAGCCTCACTGGAGATCAGTTAGAGAAACAAACAAAAACAACGTTTAAATGATCCTTTGTTCACATATAAGTTAAATGTAGGAAATGTGCCTAGTACTCAACTCTCTCTTTCTAACCACAAAATTAGACGCCATATAGGAGCAAGATTTGTTGTGTTATCTTGCTTTGACTTCTCCCACTTGCTATATGTTTGTATGTAACAAATTACCTGATAAGTTAAGTCTGATATAACTGAACTGATTACAGAGATTTCTTAGCGTTTATCTTAGGTGTATGCAGCAGGATGTTCTGGTTCAAACAAGTGACAGAATAATTAAACAAATAACCATATGTAAATGCGGTGTGTTTCACTGTATGATATGATACAATGCACTGTGGAATCTTTTACACCACTAAACCTGACAACTGGTCCAACTCTATGACAGAACACAGTTGTGAATGTTTATCACTCACTTTGATGATTTTTTTGTTGTTTTGATGACTGAAATGGTGGACGATTTGCAGGATTTCTTGGCAGCAGTCTCTCCATCTCCTGACTTCTGCACCACCGTAGCCGTCTCGGCCTTCAGTGCGGCTTGGAGAAATCCCTCCGCACACTGCAAAACACAAAGCGCCACAGATATTGTAAAGACGGCGAGAGAGAAAAGATGTGACAAATGCTGTAACAGGAAGAAAAAAAAGAAACATGAAGGACAGACTCGTACTTCAGCTTGGTTTTCTGTTCCAACGGTGTTTGCCAGCGTCCTGCAGATCTCTGTGACTCGCTGCCTTCTTAACAATGCAGCGCTTTCATACACTACGGCAACAGACAGTAAGAAGCTGAACAGCAGGCAGAGCGATTCAGTAACCTCTGTCCCCAACTTGACGCCTGCTCCTCCAAGAGTACAGACGCACTCGAACATCTGCGAGAGATAGATGGGCTCAAAGTGCGAGGGAGAGACACCAGACGACTGAAACACACAGCGGGTCAGGTTTAGCAGCTCCCCTTCATAGGGGGGTTTCTCATTCAAGTGTGTGATTGCTGTGTGTGTGTAGGAGTGTGTTTCCAGCAACTGAAGGTAGGCCGTAAAGAACTCATGGCCCTGTGTCTCAGGAAAACCTCCCAGCTCCACCAGTCGCCTCAGCATCACCATGGAGATCTTCCTCAGCCTGGTGTTGCCGTTGGCCAGGAAGGAGCAAGCCGTCTCCCAGGCCGCGCTGACGTCATGACGGGACACGACTCCCCTCAGGGCGTCAGTTACGACCCCGATCGTCACGGCAGACAGCGACTCCAGGGCAGCAGGCAAGGAGAGAATAAGGGGAGATGGGGTGAGGTACGAGGTGGCACAAACGGGGGTGATGCTGAAGCACTCGAGTGTTAAAGGCCATCGGCTCTGCGTGTGAATGCCCAACACGTGTCCCTGTCCTGCCAGCGTGGCGATATGAGCGTACAGGATGCAGCTGAGGTCCTGGGCCAAAAAAATGAGGTCCTGAGTGAGGCGACTGCAGATGAACGGTGCCCTGGCTCTCAGGGTGTGAAGCAAAGAGCACAAAACGGCAGAGACCCGGCCGTGGATGACATCGCAGTCTGGAGCGGCTGCCACACGAAGCAAACGCACTGCCACCCACTTACTGAAGTCTGAATCATGGGAGAAAAGAGGACACATTAGAAGTGGAGGGGAAAAGAAAACAAAATCAATTCTACTCCTATCTGCAACACAAAACTACACAGATAGGAGTAGAATTTTTGACAATCATCTCGTACCAGTAGAGCTCTGTGTGGCGTCCGGGTACTCGGCGGGCTGGCAGGCAGGGTTGGCGAACATCAGAGATGAGGATTTGATTATATGCTGCACAAAGTCCAGCAGCATCACACAGGCCGGCTCTGAACTGGATTTCTTATTCAGCCCAAGAGCAACTGGAAGAACACAGACAAGAGTTTAGTGCTTACTGCCTGTAAAGTCATTAAAGGGTCAGAAAAGAAAGAAAAACATATTTCTGTGGACAGATAGAACAACCTCAAGATGATTTCTGATCTTATATTGCCAAATATGGACGCTTACATTGAACTTTGGGGAGAGCCAAAAGAAAAACAGCAACAACAAACAACTTAGGGGTCAAGATACAACACAACAGCTAAATAAATGTAACAGCTAAGACTATTTTTGACATTTCGCTGGCAACAACATACAACTGAGCTGCGGACTAATTTTATTTTCCTCATATAAACACAGTCAGTTACCATACAAAAGGCTTGACTGCAAGTGCATCAGGTTAACTCTTCAGATTCATTGGGACATTAAAAACTACTAACACTAAGCTTTTATATCTTTGATCAAAGCTGTTATAGGTGTGCTGCACTGGCAGGTGTTTCTGTTATTGGGTCCTCCTCCTGTACTGTGCATGAGAGTCCTGACTTACCGACATCCACATCCGTCAGTATCCGGTCAATGAACTGACACAGGATCTGTCGAGGCTTCTGCACCGCCTGCTCGTACTCAGCCGCGCTGGCACTGCAAATACCAACAGCCTAAAACGTTATTTATGGCAACACGGCACAGCAAATGGTTTACACATATAAAGTTCAACTTAATTCAGAGTCACCCTTAGCTTAGCCAACTTTAGCCGGTTTCCTCACCTCGCTAGCTCCTGAAGAGCCGGTATCATCGCAGACATCTCCAGTCCTTCCATTGTTACTGCGGCTCAATGTCGCTATTTCAAGATACTACTTTAAGACCTAATATCAAGGATTTGTCAGGTCAGTTTTTAACCAGAGGACTTCTACATGCTCGGTCCATCCTGTCAAGTCTTTCAAAAAAAAACTTTCGCTCCAAAATGACGTTTTTGTTGTTGTATGGCAGCCACCGAGGGTCATTACAGCTATATATAAAGTCGAACTGCAAACTGCTTCCCCTGGCGGAGAACTGGATATTTACTGAAAGGAATAATTAAAGTATCACATACAGACATTTTACTTAAGTAAAAGTATAATACGACAGTGTACAAATACTACATAACAAGTTAAAATCACTTATGTTTTACTATATTTTTTAGTAAAAATAAAAAAGTCATATCAAAACTAAAAGTACACACTATGCAGAATGGTCCATTTTAGAATAATATTGGACAAAATAATAATATATGGATTAAAAATGACTGATGCATTCATGTGTAAGCATTAGGGTTACTGTTTGTAGCCAAGCCTCCTGCTTAACCTATGAAAATACATCATAATTTATTTGTTAATTAGATTTTGTATTAATAATCTGAATCTGCAGTCACTAAAAGCTAAAGCCTAAAAATAGCTGTTTGTTCCCAATATCACCCTTTGTCTTCCTTTTATGTTCAACCCACAAGGAAAAAAATATGTTTCCTTCATCCAAGCAGATGTAAAAATAGATTACTTTACATATTATGGTATTTTAAGGTGAAAGTTTGCTTTTGTGTATTATCACTTTGCATATACTGACTCAATCTAAGAAGAGAAAAACTAGTTTTTATGCAAAACATAATTTCCCTTTTCTTCCACTTTTTTTCACTTTAGAGCTTTTTGAAACAAAATAGGGGATCAGGATCACATTCAGTGCTATGTACCTTTTTACTGACCTAGAACGCAGATCAATATTTCTAAATGAACATGTTGTTTTTCACCTTTATTTAACCAAGTCTCATTTAGATTAAAATCTAATTTGCACGAGAGGCTTGGCCAAGAAGACAAAGTAAGAACATTGTTACAACAATGAATACAATACAACTTTCACGCTACAAGAGAGTAGTCCAGTTAAAATGCATAAACAGGCAGATGAGTTTCAAACAAGGTAAGCAATATCTCATGCACATACTAAATTAAAATATTGTTAAAGTAAAAGTATTTCTACTTGAGTAGGAAATTGTGGCCTAATTGCCTGACAAATACTGTTAAATAAGAGTGTTGTTAATTAATCGTTTCAAGGTTCTTTTATGAATGCCCGATTTTTACAGTTTATTCACTAAATCAATAGCACACATAGCTTCAGTTATATTTTTATATACTTATGGACTAATATAAGTTCAAATCTACCTGGTTTAAACATCTGGAGGTTCAGAAATAATGTAAATCTAGAGACACTACACACATACAAGGCTGTTCACTACATTTCATAGATTCTTTTTTAATAATTAAATAGCAATGTTTAACGCACAACATTTACAGACATAAAGACATTTTTTTTTTATCATGCTGTATCACCTTTTTCTGGTCATAGAGCAAAAGAACAAAATAGATGTAATGCCATATTAAATATAAAATAGCAAAAAACAAAACAATTAGGAGCTTGTTCTATGAAATCACAGATAAACAAATGCAGTGACTTTGTTGATGATAAATGATTTCATGTTTTCATGAAAAGAATGATGTTGTGATCACAGCAAGGTTAAAGGTCAAAGAAAAGAAATTACAATGATGAGAAAAAGATGAAAAAGAAAAGAAAGATGAAAAGCGCATTGAAACAAAATGTATATTGCTGTTTGGTTTCCAGGTGGTTTGTTCGTGTCTGTTTCAGCGGGTGGTCTTTTTCAAACTGTAGCCCATGAGGCAGGCAAACAGCGTCAGCACCATTTTGGGATTCACTTCCACCAAATCATCCGGCAGTGCATATACCCGAGCTCCGATCTTACGAGCCAGTGAGACTGCATACCTGGGAGAGGAGCAGGAAGACAGTTAGTGATCTAGTGAGAAATACAAAGATGCAGGAAGGGAAAAAAAAACAGCTGAGATTGTGTCTTTTACTTGGCGTTGTTGAGTTTATCAGCTTCATTCAGCCTTCCTTTTTTCTCTACTCTCTTCACCATGTCCCACTTGACGGCACCGGGAGCGATGGCGTCAATCAGATCAATCACTGGCAGGCTGGTGCTGATCAGTTTGTCCTGCAGAAAACAGGTAAAACAGTGTCAAATACAACCTTGTGTTTACTCAAATACACCATGCACTCATGCACACGCACCTTGAAGCTGCTGATCTGTGAGTCCTTTCGTTTCTTGCTCAAGGTGGTGTTGACCCAGTTGAGGATAATCTGATCTACAACCTTCTCTCCATCACCCAGATCTGACAAAACCTGCACTGTGTACCTGAAGGATAAGAAGCAGGATAGACAACTGAAACCGCTAGAAACTGATGATGAAAATGGTCATTTGTCTTTCCCAAACAATAAACTACAGCAAGTGATGAGTCCTAAAGTCTTGTATGGTGCATGTACCTCCTCATCAGCTGCCAGACCAGCGCCAGGGTGTGCATTGGACTCCCAATGTTCAAGTTTTCTCCTCCGATGCCAACCAGAGAGAAGTGAGCGATATCCCTGCCCAGCTCCACAGCGTAGTTACAGTTCTCCAGCTAGGAGAACAAAAACAATGTTACATTCATTTTAATGTTTTTCTTTGTTCTCACCAGCTTTATATTTCTTTACTGAGTGATCACACCTTCTTCATATTGCCCCCCAGGAAAGGATATGGCGGGTTGTTGACTTTCTTCCAGTTTACAGGCACATTAAGCTTCTCATAAAGCTGCAGGATCACCAAACCATCACACAGGTCACTGTAGAAGACAAAACAGAGAGAAAGTGAAAGAAAGAAATATATATACCGTATATATATCTTTATAGGATCCAATATTTCCCCACCAGACCTGGACTGATGGCCTCAGTATTTTTTTAAGATTGCAGTTCTCAAGTCTCAAATGTTGGTACAGTGAAGTGACAAAGTAGTGCAGAGAAAAAAAACACCCATTATTTTAGGTGAATTGATGGCAAATTGTAGATGTGAGGCTGATATGAGAAGCTATGAATAAATGTGAGTGAGGCACCCTACTCTGTGTTCATCAACAAAATACCAGTGACATTTTAGTAATAATAACCATTATTTATACAGCACAGTGTAGAAAGTGCATAAGAAAACTAAAACAATGAATATGCCCACAAGAGCACGGAAAACATATGTAATGTACATTAAAACTAAACTAAAATAAATAGAAATTAAAGATTAGTGTAAAACTAAATAAGAGCCAATTTGTAAAAGTAAGTTTAGTAGAGAATTAAAAAAAGACACTGATGTTGCTTGCCTGATTTCCAAATTGCCCTAATAGGAAATGTCCTACTCCCTTATCATTACTGGTTATATTGGGCAGTGCTTAGGTATAGATAAGTAACTGTAGTAATGTAAAGCATCCAGCCGTCCTTCCTTGATAACCACATTGATTGAACTGACGACATACCGGTACATGTGGTTGACATGTGGAGAGACGCCCAGAGAGTTCATCCAGTTTCGAAATGTTTTCTCTTCTCTAGACTCAGCTGAAATGACATGAAGGCATGATGAACAACAGGTTCTCTACCAGCTGTTCCTATACAGAGCCTGTCAGCTGATTTATGGTTGCCACACCTTGTCACACAATAAAACATTAATTTTCTTGGACTTTGTATTAGGATATGATCTGTGTGTGAATCACATGAGTTTCCTGTACATTCACAATATTTCAGTGTGTGTGTGTGTGTGTGTGTGCATTTTATGAATGTGTCTCACCCTCTATGTGCGTAGTCTCTATGCCGTTGCTCTGACCCTTCTCCAGACCCGGATGCATGTTGAAGAGGTTGGCTACGAAGGCTAAGTTGAGTTTGCTGTTTCCAGATGTGACGTCATGAGGAGAAACAAACTGTCTGCAGTCCATCCGGGCAGCCTGTTTCAGCATCAGCTCAGCCCTTCGGTTCAAATCATGCTCCTTCATATACACATGAAACAGACACACATGCATGGTTCAGACACTACTTACATATAATCATCCCAGTATAATTGACACAATTGAAAGCAAAAACAAACCGACTCACATTGAGGCCGCTCATGTCAATTTTGACACTCAATGTGTAGTCGTCCTTTGCTTTGGGAGAAATCTGGTCCAACAGGTAGAAGTAGGCTCGCGAGTCCTACAGTGGTACAGTACAAGAAGGGGTTACATTTGTGTTTGTTTAATTGTGTGAATGTGTGTGTGTTCTGAAGGGGACCTTAATATCGTCACTGAAGTTGCTGATGGTCTGTGTTCCTGCGTTGCGTAGGTGATGGTTGACCCAGCGGAGCAGCAGCTCCTCAGGGGAGAGAGACATCAGATGGTCCAGATCCTCTCCATCTCTCAGAAGGCCAATCAGACCTAAAGACACACAAATCAATTAATGTGTGAAAACAAATGTTCAAATTTTGAGTGGCACTGTTTATTGAATTGGTCTTCATTCTGCATGTGTAGAAAGGGAATACTAACCACCTGTCATGATCAGATCTGTAACATATAATTATGAATATACAAATAGAAAACAATGAAATGTGGTTACTGGTTATATTTCTTAAACAGCAGTATTAAAAGCCCAATAGCATCAATAGTGTGAAAAAGGATACTCCCGGAGGTTTGGATTTAAATGCTTCCTATATAAAATGCACCATATATAAAATTCACATTATTATGTTTGCTCATATTTTGTTCCATTGTATCCATGGTAAGGCAAAACAACAAGTTGCAACAACTCGTCATAAATCTATGGATTGTAAGCAATTCGATTTAAAGTTATTTTACTATCACTGAATGTTTCATATGAATAGGCCAACTGTAAATCATAAACTGTACATTCAGCTGAGCGACACCTACTGTATGCCCTGATCTCTGAGGGTTTGATTATCAGTTTGCATCCCTGCACCTGAAAGTGTCTCAACAAAAGGTAATCTGTGTGTGTGTGTGTGT